ACAACGCCTGGCTATTTTTTGGTTGCAGCCATCATTGTTGTTTGGCCGGCCCAGGCTAGATTCGAACCTGCCAGCTCAGTTGTATGTGGCTGGTGCCTTAGCTGCTTGAGCCACAGGCGCCAAGCCTAATCTACATAATTTAAGTGTGCTGTGGAAGTTTAACTACAGGTTCAAGTGTGCTGTCTGATTAAAAAGGTTGAGAAACACTAGTCTAGACCCATGAGAGATAGAAAAGGAGTAACAAGTCCTCTTCTTTACTTAATAAGCATTCATCTGCCCCTACCCCCCAGATAAGAGACATACTGAGTGTTTAGACCTCCCAAGGTAAAGGGAGACTTACACACTATTTTCTAACCTGCTTTTTCCACTTAGCATATTAAAAACATTCTTACAGGTCAGCGCCTGTAGGTCAAGGGGCTACGATGCCAGCCACATACATCAGAGCTGGTAGGTTTGAATCCAGTCCAGGCCTGCCAAACAACAATGACAACTACAACCAAAAAATAGCCAGGCATTGTGGCAGGCACCTGTAATCCCAGCTACTTGGAAGGCTGAGGCAAGAGAATTGCTTAAGCCCAGGAGTTGGAGGAGGTTGGGGTGAGCTGTGATGCCATGGCACTCTACTCAGGGCAACAGCCTAAGGCTCTGTCTCAAACAAAATAAATATAAAAACATCCTTACGTGGCAGGAGACAGTGACCTGCCATCACCTGTTTAATAGCAAACAATGTATATTATGGGACTGTACCTTAACCTATCTGACCTCACCCCTAATTTTGGACATTTGAGTTGCCCCTCCCTTTTTTAAACTATAAAATATATTTTTAATTATAAAAATAATATGAAAACATAAATATTTAGAAAACAAAGGAAATGATCTCACCCATTATCCTAGCTCTTTAAGTGTTCTCTGGTGATATCAGGGTATTTCCCTTTGGGCCCCTTTCCTATGGATAATAGTGGACATTCCATATTCTAAGGACACATTTTTCTGTGTTCCTCCTGTCAGTGGTACATGGAACCCTCGGAGAGTTTGAGTGTGAGAGAAAGTATGTTAATTACCCGGCTGACACAGTGGTAGCTTTGGTCTGTTTTACATTGTTATTTTGAGTTTCCACCAGAGTTTCTGCTGGAGTACATCTAGATACAATGGAACAGTTGAGAAGTTGAGAAAGAAGAGTTCTATATAAGGGAATTTGCCAAAAATTCTGCTTCTTTTTAGATGGCAACTAAATGAATGTATTTACTTATTTTGGTTTTTAACTGAGGCAAATTCACATCACTTAAGATGTACCATCTTAAAGTGTACCATTCAGTGGCTTTTGGTACATTAATGTTGTACAACCATCATCACTGTCCAATTCAAAACATTTTCATCACTCCAAAAGGAAACCCTTGGCTCGGCGCCTGTGGCTCAAGCGGCTAAGGTGCCAGCCACATACACCT